CTGTTTTTTAAGTTTACTTATGCTATCCCTTCCCCCCGAGACATCTCTACTGGATTAGGTAAACTGAGTTTAAAGGGTAGAGTTCTGTTTAAGTGGTATAACTCCAACCACCTCCTATTCTCTTTTCATCTTCCCGAGGACTATAATGAGGTTTGGCTTAGGACCTCGATTCACGTATGTGGATGCCCAGGTAGGGTGTTCAAGTATACTTCCAGGTTCAACCCGAAGATGGAGACACTTGTTGTCCCCGTGTGGTGCCGCCTTCTCGGCCTCCCACCCCATCTTTACGACCGAGATTCCATCACTACGCTGGCTAAGTGTATCGGCCAGTCGATTCGCATCGATGCCCCAACGGCCCTTCAGTCGAGGGCTAACATGGCATGGTTTTGTGTAGAGATCGACCTTAGGGTCGAGCCCGTCCTTGAGATTGAGATTGGGTAGGGCTCGGAGACCTTTGTTCAGAGGGTGATATATGAGAAGATCCCCGCGTTTTGCTCTTTGTGCAACCATGTGGGGCACATAGCGGCTGATTGCTACATTAGTGGTAATAAACCATGACCCACCCTTCCATAGCGCTACCAGCTAGGACCCTCCAACTCCCGGAGGGACCCGAAAGGAAAGGGCAAAAGCCCTCTCTATGGGCCCGGGACCCCAAAGGGGGCCAAGGATAAAGGCAAGGCTGTGATTGATGCCACTGCCCAAGCAAGAAAGGATGCTCATCCTAACCAGCCTGAGTAGTTGGATATAGTTGGGACCAAGCCCAAGGCCCCTAGCTTTCTTCCCAGAGATACCTTACAGTCGGCCTTCAAGGCCAACCACTCGTACTTTGTAGTCCTCTCCCCTAAGGCAGAGATGAGGCTGAGCCTTCCACTAGTGACCCCCCTAGGCTTTCGGATCTTGTACTTTTAGACGATGATGACCTTCTTGTAGATGGTTTGGAGTAGCCAGACACCTCGACCAGTGGCACGTCCATCCACTTATCTGATGATAGCACTCGCGTCGCTGTTCTTTTTTCTGTTCATTCATCTATCCAGGACCGCTCTCTGGAGATGAGGACAGCTCCTGTCCTTGCTCTCCCAAAAGGGGAAGAGCCGGCACATCTCCCCTCTGGTGAAAATGGGAGCTCGGCTGAGCATATAGCTAGTCTCCAGCCACACTCTGTCGGCGAGCATCCGAGTGCTCCGCCAAATGGAGTCTCACTTCCTCCCCTCCCTGAGCAGACATGTGGTCTTAAATGAACCCAGCATGATGTCACGTGCGAGAATTTCACCTCTAGTGCTTTCCTCCACTATGACAGACAAGAGACAGCCGCAGAGATGAGACAGGTTCTTTGTGCTGTTCTGGGCCAGACTGCTCAGCCAGATGATTCGCAGGCAACGAGAACCTACCGAGGGCATCCCCCCTCGAAGACAAGACCCACACTGCGCATGACACGACGGACTATTTCCCCTTCTCTTTGATCCTCTCGCCACCTCCTCCCTCCTTTAGGTGGCCCGACTCAGCCTCGCCACAGGCGGACTACGTCCGGTGGCTCTTGCGACCGTTGATATGTCTATCACATCCATAACTTGGACTGGTCGGGGTCTGGCTAATAAAGCCACTCTCGCTCATCTTCATTCTCTCTTTCGTGATCATAGAGTTGATTTTGTTGGCTTTATTGAGCCGAATGATTAGCACCTCTGCTGTTGACTACTACTCATGTCGCCTTGGTTTCCACTCGCGGGTGGGTAACATTTCGCATAAGATATGTTTCTTCTACTCGCGTGACTGTACCTGTTGGGTCCTTCGGGACACCGATCGGGTGCTTCATGTCGAGCTTTCTGATGCCCACCTCCCCGAGCCCATATTCCACACCTTAGTTTATGCCAAGTGTAAAAGGGTCGGGAGATATGATATCTGGGACACCCTGCGTGTGATTGCTGAGAGTATGAAGGGATTGCCATGGATGGTTAGTGGCAATTTCAACATCTTTCTGCACCCCGATGAGCGTGTGGGTGGCCGTTCGAACCGGTCTCAGGAGATGTGGGATTTTGCTCAGGCAGTGGCGGAATGTGAGTTAATTGATGTTGGATGCAAGGGTGAGCCCTTCACGTGGGTTAGGGATGACCTCAAAGAGAGGCTCGACCGTGCCTTGGTCTATGAGGCGTGGGCGAAGGTGTTTGCGGTCACGGCCGTCACACACCTCACTCGATTTGGTTCTGACCATTCACCCCTCCTCATTAGGTGTCAAATTTTTAGCACCCCCTGGTGCTCTTCCTTTAGGTTCCAGAACATGTGAGTTCGCCACCACTCCTTCCACGACACTTTCAGTGATTCCTGGCTTCAGCCGACTGGGCTCTTCGTCATGCGCAATCTCGAGGCGAAGCTTGGCAGACTGCGGCGTAAGTTGAGACAGTGGAACTGGGATGTTTTTGGAATCCTCCATCAACGCCTTTCTGCGGCTCAGAGTGCGCAACGGAGGCCGAGCAGGCCTATGACCTGGATCCCACTCCGAAGAATAGGACTGCGATGCACCGCTGCCATGCCGAGTACCAGCTCCGATTCCTTATGGAGGAGGATTTTTGGAAGCAGAAGGCGGCCGTTCGCTGGGTGGCCGAGGGCGAGTGGAAAACTAAGTTTTTCTAGGGTTCGTTAGGCAGAAGCGTTCTAAGTCATATATCCACAGTATTGAGGCTAATGGGTCATCCCTAACCCGGGAGTCTCAGATTCGGGAGTCGGCTGTTGCTTACTTCCAGACCCTCTTCACCTCTGACAGAGGGTCCCTCGTTGCCTCGACCACCACTTTCTTTCCCACCATTCCTCCTTCGGTCGATCTTATTGGCCTTTGTGAGCTCCCGAGTAGGGAGGAGGTTAGGGATGCTGTCTTCGGGATTGATCTCAACAGTGTTTCTGGCTCGGATGGTTTCTCATCTCTGTTCTATCAGGTCTACTAAGATTTAGTCGAGCCTGACGTTGAGGAGGCAATGTTGGATTTTTTTCTCCGGTCACCGGATGCCGGATTCCTTCACGTCTACCTCTGTCGTCTTGATTCCTAAGAGACCCAACCCGAGCTCTTGGTCCGACTATAGGCCCATCAGCCTGTGTAACGTGACTAACAAGCTCATTTCGAAAATTCTTAATGGTTTCCTTTTCCCTCTTCTCCCCTCCCTCATCTCTCGAACCAGAGTGGATTCGTCAAGGATCGGGTCATTAGTGATAACATACTTTTGGCCTAGGAGATGATCCACGACATCTCCCAAGCGGATTGGAAGCAGTCACCAAACATTGCGCTGAAGCTTGACATGGCTAAGGCGTATGATAGGGTGGAGTAGCCGTTTCTTTGGGAGGCATTGGCTAGGATGGGATTTCTTGAGCGTTGGATCAGTTTTGTGGAGGCGTGTGTGGAGCACTGCACATACTCGGTCCTGGTTAATGGTAGTCCAACCGACTTTTTTCCCTTCTCTAGAGGTCTTATACAGGTGACCCCCTTTCCCCGTGCCTTTTCGTTCTTGCGGCGGACTACTTCTCTTGCTGCCTTGACGGCTTTGTCCGCGACTGGATGACATACAACACTCGTGGCTATGGTCCTTCCATCTCTCACCAATGTTATGCGGATGACATCATCATCTTCACCCGGGCAGATGATGATGGGCTGGTCCAGCTTATGCACCTTCTGGAGCACTATAGCTCGGTTATTAGCCAGCTGATCAGTGTGCAGAAGTGCACCTTCACCCTCTCCTCCTCCAGCGCGGACAGGTGGGCTCAGCGGGTCCACGAGATAACTGGCTTTTCGCGCGGCGACCTTCCCATTACTTAACTCGGTGCCCCTTTACATAAGGGTAACCTCACGAGAGCGCTCTTTGCGGACATCATACAGAGGATGATCGACAAGATTTCTGGTTGGTCGCATAGACATCTTTTTTTCGGTGGTCGGCTTGTGCTGATCAAGAGCACCTTTAGCTCCCTTCCCCTTCATTTACTTATGGTCCTCAACCCCCCTAGGTCTACTCTTGATGAGATTGACCAGATTATGGCTCGTTATTTCTGGGGTTACGAGGACAGTTCCGGGAGAGGGAGACTCACCCACTGGGTGAATTGGGACACTATCTGCTGCCCTTTCACTGAGGGTGGCCTGGGCATCCGCCGCCTCAGGGATATTGTTACTCCATTCTCCTAAAAGTTGTGGTGGCGCTTCAGGGAGGGAATGTCGCTTTGGGCTCAGTACCTTCGCAGCAAGTACTGCCCTAGACGTGCCAACCACCCTTGTTGGGTGACGACGGTTGATCATGATAGCAAACATTTGCGGCGCCTCACTAGGGTCGTTAGGCGTGCCCAGGATCACATTTTTTAGGTTTTGGGTGAGGGCGAGGTTAGTTTCTAGGATGAGTGGTGGTTAGGTGATAGGCTATTGTCTAGGGATAGACAGGTGACGCATTGCCCCTACTTGCTTGTGTGCGACCTTTGGACGGACGGGTGGTGGGACAAGGGGAAGCTTGATAGAGAGTTGGGCTCCTGGGCGGGTTTTAGCGATCATTTATTAGATCAGATCCAGCAGATACACATCTCGGGGGATGGTTCAGATGGCATGAGGTGGAGACTAACATCATCGGGTGTGTTTTCTACTACCTCGGCTTGCAAGCAGATCAGGCTGAGATATCGGCCTAATCTTCTCTTCGGA